TCTCACCGATACAGAGCCACAGACGGCCGGTCGGCCGGCCGGCGGCTGCGCTGTGCCGGCCCGCGGCACCGGCGCCGCCCACAGGTGTTAGTCGGGGTCACCCGAGGCGCATGGGAGGGAGGCAGGGGAGGAGGAGAAGCGGGTAACAAACGTCACTGGATAACGGCAATCAGGGGGGATACACAGCCGCAGATGTGTCATTCGCGAACGGCAGATAAAATAGATTCTGTGAGCAGACTAGCGATGTTTGGAAACCGAGCTTGGTTGAATGAAGAGGTTCTCAGAACCACAATCAAAATACAACTGCCTCGTCACTCTCGGTCAGTACGAGAGATGCAAACGATATTCATAGATATCGCGTGTTACATTGCGTGCTCTCTTAACCCGCGCCCTGATGGGGGGGGGGGCATTTTGGCCCCCCCTGTGGTTTTTCTTAAATAGCGAGAAAACGGCGGCGCGCAGCGCCGCCAAATTTTGGGTACCTTACCGGACATCAATTTGACACCTTCACACAAAATTTCAAGTCACAGGTCACCTCAGGTCAGGAGTTATTGAGGTCAAACTGAGGTCATGTTCGAGTAAAAATGAGCAAAAAACATGACATCTTGAAACGCTCACCAATTCTATAGTTAACAAGCAATTTTAAAGTTCTTTATGTGGTTGTGTAGACAAAAAACGGCGCTACAAAACTGCTATCTCGGATTTTCGAAATTTTGGGATTTTGACCCCCAAAAATAAAAAAAAAATGATTTTTTTTAGAAAAACTCAAAAAATTTCCAAAAATTTTTCGAATTTCGAAAAAACGGAATATATGTGATAGTCCTTGCGCTCTTCGATATACATACCAAATTTTAGATCGATACCTCTTTTTTTGGCCAAGTTATAGCGAAAAAACTGTTAAAAATTGATGACGTCAAATTTTTGAACTCAATTTTTAGCAATTCTAGACCTCGTAGCGCAAAACGGAGACCACCATTGAACTCCCCGTGACGAGCTGCATCGAATCGATACCCATTTTATGCAAAAATATCAACTTTGAAATTTGACCTAATTTGACCTGACCTTGACCTGACCTTGACCTGACCTTGACCAAAACGTGACCTAAGCTGGCCCTAAAGTCTGTCTGACCCACATAATCGCATTTGTCATGTAAAATGGACCATAAAACATGTATCACACGACACTTTCATATTGTGACCCCCCAGTGACCTGACCTCTGTGACCTGACCTGGTATCAGTGACCTCAAATAGCAAAATATGTGTTTGAAGAACATTTCCCCATCGATGATTTTCAATGAAATGCATTTTACACGATTTAACAACGCATTTCTTGAAATGCCTGTAAACGGTGAAAATTCGACCTTTGGCCTGACCTGTGACGTCATCGGTTTGACTGAGGTCAATGAAATTGGGTCACAAGGTAGTTCCCCGTTGGGGCTATCCAACACCGTTTACCGCTTGTCGCTATGTTGCGTGGTTCTCGAGATCTGAGGGGGGGGCCAAAATGGCCCCCCCCCCATCAGACCGCGTTGCTCGGCAGACCCCATCTGGGCGCGGGTTAATTTAACAAAATGTGGGCCCTCCGTCGCCCCGGAGAGTGACTTTGCTACTAGCTGTCAATAAAATGAGTTGGCACAATGCTACACCACACAGCTGTGGATTCACAGCAGTTCTTCATTCCCTGTCACATCGATGACTTACAGTTTACAGGAACCTTCGCCTAACGGCTAACCGCCAGCTCGCAAGATTCGCCGCGCGGCTTGACGGTAGGAGAATGATAGAGCGTTTGTTTGGTGAGATGTCAGCACCGCATGTTTAATAAAAAGAACGTGCAAGAACTGCACTGAAAGATGTCATCCCTCGTACAGCTGCACCGTTACATTTGCAGGGTTCGACATCTGTCGATAGCCCATCCGTGACGGTGGAGAGATACCTACTCAGGGTAAACGATGGGGACGATACAAATTACACAATAGGCACTTCATTAACACCCTGTACCGGAAAGGAATGCGATATCAAGAAATAAAGCAACATCTTGACATCTGCAACTTGAGAGCGGTACTACGAGCTTGTCCTCAATTTCAGCGACAAAAAAGGTGACGCGCGTCCCGCCTCTTCCTTACTGGCAGCCGACATGCCAATTTCTTGTGGATCAAATAAGACACATGTCGATATTTACGTAAATCAGATTCCCCCAATTACGTGACGACAGCAAATCCTGTTATAGCATGACTCTCAGGTGTCAGGTAAATAGACAGGATTCTACGATCTCACACCATCGAACAGACAGGTCCCACCGTCACGGTCTCGCCAGGTGTTTAGACCGGCCGACAGCCGAGACAGACCCAACAGGTGCCTGGCCAGCCACCCCCTGCCAGGGTCACGCTGGGGGGGGGGGGGGGGGGGTCCAGGATCCGGGTGACACCCACCCAATACAAATACTGCTGGTCTCCCGGGGCAGCTCAGCCGTCTGCGACCCGGCCGGAAATTAAACAGTGGCTGTCTCTGAACGGCAGCCGCAGACGAGACCAGAGCCCTGATCGGCGGCCGGCTATAGTTCGTTTTTTTTTCAAAAGGACGCTGGCTCAAAGTTCAATATCGAAACTCTCACGTGAGTTTTGGCAGCTTCAGTGTCTGGCCAAGAATTTCTTACCGAAAAAATAATCGATTTCAAATTGTGCACGGTAAGTAGCTGGAAATTGTTTCTTAAAAATGAGCATACTATGATGACGTCACTGGTGGCAGCAGGCACCCAAATGTCCGTGCAATGGGACAAGCGTCAACGAATTTAGGTGAAACTTAGTTTTTCACTGTTGCCGAGCTTATAATCGAGTAAGCGGTTCCGTCCATGATAGTTATACGTTACATTGCAATACATGTTCGACAGCATGACGTCACCACTGTTCTCCTATCTGGTTCCAAAACGCACATATGGAAATTATCGGGAAGAAATCACATGTTAAAATTAGTCGACGTTCGATTTTCTCAGGTTCAGTTTTTGCTCGTTTTGCTCGCTAAAACACGTGCTCGTTCGAAAAACATACTTGGAGCCAGCGTCCTTTTGAAAAAAAAAACGAACTATAGTACTCTTGCCCGCGCTCACATACGTGCACGTTACCCCGGCAACGGGCTATTGACCAATGAGAAGCGAGAAAAGTGTTACGTCACTGCGATTTTTCATATACCTGTGCCCCCCCCCCCCCGACGTGACGTAGTGTGCTCGCGCGCGTGCAGGGTCTCTGCGATCGAAAAAGAGCGCTAGCAGCGCGCCACTCGACGCCGCAATTGTCAAAAGCGGCGTGTTAGTATGCTTTATTATGAATGATGTGTGTAAAAGTGGGTTTTTATGTTGTTTATTTGGAGGAAATGGTTGGAATAAATTAAGTTATTTTTATTTCTGTTGGTTGGAGTTTTTATTCATAAAATTTCGGTCTATACCATTGATATTTACTGAAAATACCTTCGCTTGAATAAATTGCAGATATTTGGCAACTGAAGTGTTAGGTAAGCCTAAATGATATGTAAAAAGGTAAGAGACACCCTGATTATCATTTGAGAAACGAAAATATATGAATTTTCCTTATAAGACTCGCTCAATATGCTACTCCGCGTTTTATGCCCCGAGGGTGTCCGAGGGTTCCCGTTAGTTTGTCGTTGGCGCTCGGCTCGCGCGCGAGCCGACGTCACCGCCTGTGACGTCGGCTCGCGAAATACGTCATACCCTGCATACAAAATAGCCGGCTGCCGAACAGCGCTCAGTATACCCATTCAGTGGTCCTGAGAGCCAGAGCTGGGCAAGTGCGTTCCTTTAGTGCGTTCCTGCGTTCTTCCGTACGTACGCACCGCCCTTTTTAGGAACGCAAGAACGCAGGAACGCAAAGTTTTTCAAAGGAACGCAAGTAAGAGGAACGCACCACCCGAAATTTTGAAGCGTTCCTGCGTTCTTGCGGAACCACCCGAAAAATTATATTGCTGCCAATGACCTCTGTGTCAAATGTTTGAATCTCGAGTACGTGTGTTTGCCGGTAGAGGCGCCAGTTGTCGGTCGAATCGAGGAAGGCTTGCTTAGATTTAGTGGTGATGTTTACTATTCGATTCGGTTTCAGGCATTAAATGTGTAAAAATTTTAGTGGTGATGTTTACTATTCGATTCAGTTTCAGGCATTAAATGTGTAAAGTAAATATGATAACTTTTACTAAGATACATCTTTTAACTTAACTATTGTTTTTTAAGCAGGTCGTATTTTTGTTGAAAACCCTACGGATGATATTGGTAAAACGTATTTCAGATATTCGATTCGGAAAAGAGATGTCGAGGAGTTGCTTTTTGGCCCCACGTCGCCATTCTGGGTATTCTGTGATCGATTCGCCCCGTGTTTGGTTGGGCCCGCGCCGCGTGGTTCGGCGGTATTTTTGAGGGAGGAACGCAGGAACGCAGGAACGCTAACGCACCGAACGAAAAAAAAAATGAGGAACGCTATTCCAGGAACGCACTAACCGCGGCCGGAGGAACGCAGGAACGCTAACGCACTACCCAAAATCGAGGAACGCGCCCAGCTCTGCTGAGAGCGTCAACCAGCCATTCAGTCGACTCGTTTCGAGTCCCCCGGCGTCCGTTTGGCACAAACAGACGACCATCAATATCGTCGCCTCAGAGTATATGAAGCACCATCGATCGAGTTCGGCGTCGGAGGGTTCCCATTGGTACAGCCGTATTGTCGTAAGGTAGGCACCCAATGCATCCATCATGGCTGTATGCACCACGCCGGCTCCATTGGGCGCTAACAGAGACAGTGGTGGTAACTGGTAGCCTTTTTTTCTGTCCCTCGTGAGGTAGGTCGTCCAATGGAATCAGTCGGCGCTACACACTTATTCCTGCAGACAGCATGGCCTTTGGACCTCAGCTGAATTTGTTCCCAAAATTACTCTAAAGTCTAAACGAATGCGTGGGGTAAAGAACGACTTGAAAGCGATTCCGAGCCACTGGCATTACTTTCGGGTGCTCTTGAATTGTCTAACATGAATAAGACACTCCGCACTGACATAAGCTGAGTGGCACTCCCCACTGATCCATTGAGTGACACCCACCGAAACACTCTTCACTGACCCATCCGAGTGAGACAATCGCCACCTCAGTGCGACACTGTCCACCGGTGACCCACCTTGGTGTCGGGCTCGGCCAGGGAGGCCATCAGCGGCAGCATCACGGGCCCGGGCTCAGCGATGGAGCCGCGCGGGGTGGCGAACGGCGTCATCTCTGGGGTGGCCACCGTCAGACCAGGAGGCGCCGCGTACTGGCAGCGAGCCGTGGCGCGACGCATGGTGACCGGCGCCGAGCTGCCTGCAAAGAACACCGAGAGACGAGAGACGGTCAGTGGGAGAGGCAGAGACGGTCAGTGGGAGACACGGAGACGGTCAGTGGGAGAGGCAGAGACGGTCAGTGGGAGAGGCAGAGACGGTCAGTGGGAGAGGCAGAGACGGTCAGTGGGAGAGGCAGAGACGGTCAGTGGGAGACACGGAGACGGTCAGTGGGAGACTCGGAGAGACGGTCAGTGGGAGAGGCAGAGACGGTCAGTGGGAGACATGGAGACGGTCAGTGGGAGAGAGAGAGACGGTCAGTGGGAGACACGGAGACGGTCAGTGGGAGACTCGGAGAGACGGTCAGTGGGAGAGGCAGAGACGGTCAGTGGGAGACATGGAGACGGTCAGTGGGAGAGAGAAGGAGAAGGTCAGTGGGAGACACGGAGAGACGGTCAGTGGGAGACACGGAGACGGTCGAAGGAAAGTCAGGTGGCCATAACACTGCAGTGGAGCTGATACTTCATCGTCAACGGATGGGACATCTCGACGCAATATTACCACCTACCAAAGAACTGAGAGAAAATCTGAAAGCAGCCACACACAGGAATGGTTCGCCATGACAGTCACCGCCGATGAGGCTCAACTGAAAGCGAAATGTCTTATTCTTAACCCTCGCCGGCCGAGGGGGGGGGGGGCGGGGCGGGTGCCGCCCCCCCCCCCATAGGGTTTTTTCGCGATAGCTCCGAACACGCTGGCGATAGAGAGCTGAAACTTGGCATACCTGACCTTTGATCCAAGCCGGATCTTTTGACACCAACCGCATTTTTGGGTCAGGTCAGGTCACTGACCTATGACGTCATAAGTGAACCTCTGCACGGTCTTCAGATGTCGCAACTTCGCAACGCCCTCACTGCCAGAGGAGATGTCACAGGGAAATGAAAGTTGCAGGATCTAGTATCCATTATGAGTCCCACAACTTGTATATCTCGGATTTTTCCTAAAGGTCATATGAGGTCAGGTCATTTTCGTGACCTCACCATTATAAGTCAATGGGGAAAAATGAAAACTGCTATTCTGGCGCCGGGAACGATCTCCAACTATCTCAAGCACACAGAATCGTGATTTGATGCACTCCTTGCAAGGTTAGATGCGTCACTTTTGCAATGTTGACCTTGCGTGACGTCATTTATGACGTCATCAAGGTCATATTAGTTTTTCGTCAATAACTCTTGATCAAATTGAGCTAGCGAGTCGGGAAAGCCACCAATGGACTCAGGAAGGCCTGCCGAATCGAATGATATGCGACATGGCCTCTTTCGACCAACTTCGTGACCTGGGGGTGCTGACCTGACCTTGACCTGAGGTCAACACCCCAAGTTGACCTGACCCGGACAAAAAGTATATCATTCGACGCGCCTGAGCGAGGCGAACACGATGCTGCCAAAATCGGCGCTCTGCGGCCGTTTTTTGCGAAGTTATTCACCAAAAACTGAACCGTACCTTGGGGCACTTGACCTGACCTCAGAGGTCACCGGTTGACCTAGGACCTTAAAATCGGGTACCAATCTCTGCGTCTCGTAACGGCGCACACGCTCGTTTTTTTCGCGACGCGCTAGCTCCACCAGGGGCGAAATGGCGAGGGGGGGTCGTACCCGCCCCCCCCCCCCTCTCGGCCGGCACGTATGTAGAAAACCAATAGGTCCGGCGAGGGTTAAACTTGCCTGGCATTGGACAGATTGCAACAAAGCCCTACCAGGGCTCTCTCTCGATCCCACAAAAACAAAGCCCCAATTTGGCACGAAGATCGAGAACCACTGTTCAGCAAATGGCGCACTGATACCGTCCAACTGTTCAGAAACTGGCGCACTGAGACCGTCCAACTGTTCAGAAACTGGCGCACCGAGATCGTCCAACTGTGCAGAAACTGGCGCACCGAGACCGTCCAACTGTGCAGAAACTGGCGTACTGAGACCGTCCAACTGTGCAAAAACTGGCGCACTGAGACCGTCCAACTGTGCAGAAACTGGCGCACTGAGACCGTCCAACTGTGCAGAAACTGGCGCACTGAGACCGTCCAACTGTGCAGAAACTGGCGCACTGAGACCGTCCAACTGTGCAGAAACTGGCGCACCGGGACCGTCCAACTGTGCAGAAACTGGCGCACCGGGACCGTCCAAACTGAGCACACGGCGGGACTGGCACGGACGGGACCTCCGACACGGGACCGGACCGCGGCTGACGACTGACTGACGTGGGGTCGGCCGCGGCGGGCTGGTATAGCCTGGCGCCGGGCCGCCGGAGGGACGTCACCGCCCCCTCCCCGCCCCAGTGCCGGCCCGCCCCCTCCCTGCGGCTGCATCAACAGCGACAGCTCTACTAGTGCGAGGTCTGCACCGGTCTGGCGAGTGACCCATGAATCACTCAGGGATCACCTCAAAGAATGGGCACTACCCAGCGGCGGCGGAACACCTTCAATTAAGGGGGAACTGCCGAATTTTGGTCCCATTCTTTCCATGCAACGCCCATAGGGCTAATGTTAAAGTGCCAAAATCAAAGGGTGTATCAAATCATGGTGCCCCGCCCCGTTCCGCCGCCTATGGCACCACCCAGTCAGGCATCGGCAATTGGTAGGAAAGGGCACCGTGGGAAAGGGAAGAGGGACATCAGCGACTGATATTCCAAAACAACCGTGGATCGACAGACTCGATGGGAAGACACACACCCCGCTGCGGGTTATCCAGGACAGCTGATGACTCACAGCTAGGAGCACGCCACGCCTAAAGTAGACCAGATTACGGGGGGCATTTGGCACTGGATCGCAGGCTCCTGGAATCCCCCCCCCCCCCCTGGATAACCTGGTCCTCACTGGATCACAAGCCGAGCCGATCCCTTGACCAGAGCGGCGTGCTTTGCTCTCAGCGTGGCCCGAGACAACGGGTGAGATTTTATAGGTGTATATACCCAGCGATCGGTTATCGCTCAACATTGTTCCGGTAGTTATCGGCAGATGGCATCGTTCCTCCACATCGCTCCTCCTCTAAATCTAGCAATATATTATTTGGGATAACGTGAGTTAGATCCCGTCGGAGCAACTTTCGAGTGTCCTCTGTCGCTATTTCTTTGTTCCGGCCCGGTTCAGTCACATATGGCTGTTTACATATTGAACGCTGTCCGCACGGCCAGCCGAGGAGCCGCTCGCTGTTCTGCAGATAGCGGGACGACCGAGATCGTGGGTGAATCACACGGAACGCAGACGCGTCCGAACTGAGACACGTGTCATTCCGGTCTGACCCGTGAACACTCGCGACAGTTTGACAGCTCTGCCAAAGCCTGTCAATGGAGACGACAAGTGGACTGGGGCGTCACGCATAATTTAGCGAGCCTAGCAGCTGTGTCAGTTAAGCATCAGCAAAAGGCATGATTAAACAGAAGTATACTTAAAACATTACACCTTTTTGCATTTGAAATCAACCATTCGCCATAACTGTTTGAGGAGCCATTTCGACAATCGGCATTGAGCACAACTATTCCGGCGTGGTGTGCTTCATTTCAGCCATTCAGCAAAACAGATTGAACACTGAAATGAGCGATCTGCAAAACAGTTTAACAGTTCGCCAGACTTCGGCATAGAGGGAGCAAGCTCGGCATATGACGAATACTTTCGACCATTGACGATTTGTTTTGCCCAGGGCTGCGGAGTCGGAGTCGGAGTCGGAGTCGGAGTCGGTCGGAGTCGACAGTTGTGACCGGAGTCGGAGTCGGAGTCGGAGTCGATTTTAAAAACCCGAGCCGGAGTCGGAGTCGGAGTCACCGAAAATCTGTCGACTCCGCAGCCCTGCTAGGTCTGCGGAGTCGGAGTCGGGAGTTGGAGTCGGTCGGAGTCGACAATTCTGCCCGGAGTCGGAGTCGGAGTCGGAGCTGGTTTTTGAAAGCCGGAGTCGGAGTCGGAGTCGGATTCGCCGAAAATCCATCGACTCCGCAGCCCTGGTTTTGCCCAATGTTGAACCATTCGTTCAATGTCGAGTTGTAGAGGAAGATCGCCGAATAGTTTTGCCCAATGGCGATTCTTTGTGACCAACCGCCCATTTGTACCGCCACCTATATGGCGAACGTGTACAAATGTTTTGCCCAATGGTCAAAAGCTAACGCAAAAAGGTGTATTACATAAGCTCCCATTACAATGACAAGTTTGGCAAGATCTAACGACACATGCAAAGGCATTCAGCAAATGCTCCATTCAGCACACAGGTACCTCCATTGATGAACAAAGGCACAAATTAGCACGTTCTCAAAAGGGATTAACTGGTTCACGTAAATTCGGAAATCCTCCTACAGTAGCCAGATTGTGAAAACCCCTTAGGCGATCATTGAAGCAACCATACGCGTGACTTCCGTTGTAAGCATCCTTTCGTATCCCTCGATTCCGTACCTACGTCACACTATCGCAAGTGCTACCTCAATGTAATCCGATCCAGGTCATCAGCCAACAAGTGTCAACTGCGTGCCCTCGTGTGCCGTAGCACGCACGTCGACCCCTGACCCGGTCGTATCACCACCCTGACCCCTGACCCCGCGCATGTGAGTCACCTGGCTTATCACATCATCACGAGGACTCGCGCACGCACGGAGACGATCGGCGGTGACACGTCTGTTTGAGACGCTTCCGGAGGGCTCGAGAGTGTCGCTTAGATGACGAGCCTGTACGGTCTGCGAGTGGTTCTGGGCGGACGTGTCCCAGCGTCAGCCACCAATTCTGATAGAACGTAGACTCGGATCGTCCCAGCGTCAGCTACCTACTGAAGAAGATCGTCCGTTCGAAATCGTTCACATATCCGTGGGGACGCCAAAGGGCAAAATGAACTTCAGTGTGTCTACCTAAAGTTGATGGCATGCCTGTAATTTCGCCTCTGAGAACGAAATAACACGGAATAACATCACACATTGCAGGTGATGAAACTATTCTGTGAGAATTTTCCCAAACATCGCACACCGCCGATCGGAATGCGTCGGACTCTGACCGCCCGAACATTGGCATTGCACCACACAGGCTCGCAGTTTGGCGTCGTCTCGCAGCTGCGTTTGGGACCACGACCACTATTTGCGCTGTGAACGTGCTCAGGGTGCCAATCTCAGCACGCCAGCCGAACAATATCGGCCGGGTGCCTGCCCTGCGACGGACCAACGGACCATCGTTTTATCCACCTGACCGCCCGCAATAGCTTTGATAGAGGCATGGTACATACAGCAGCTATTGGAGCATGTAAAATACGTTCACCTGACCAATACAGATCGGCAGATATGCAACATGACTTTTTCCCAGGGATGCGGAGCCGTGGAAATTTCAGACGGCTCCGGCTCCGGCTCCGGCTCCGGCTCCGGAGAAAAAAATCGGCTCCGGCTCCGGCTCCGGCTCCGGGTGAAATGTCATGGCGGCTCCGGCTCCGGCTCCGGCTCCGAGTAAAATGATCCGGCTCCGGCGGCTCCGGCTCCGGCTTCTACTCAGTACATCCCCTATGCGATCAATTAAATACGGGTGGAAGAAAAAACGCGATGGGATTGGTACACGTTGCTTCTGTATTTGTATAACAAGGCTATTTTGAATACCACATTGTTTTACGCCTTCTGCTGTCAAACCGAACTAGGTAAATAATTGTTTCCTCTTAAAGGGACCCTCCCGCCTTCAAAAAAGTTAATGAATTGGCATGAAAGTGATGTCGCTCGGTTCAGAAAGAGCAAAAAGGAATATCTACCAAATTTCACCGAAAAATATTTACCGGTTTTCAAGATATTAGATATTTACTTTTGTTTACTTTTTTGGGATCTCCGCTGTTTCTAGCAACTTCATTTTGGAAGTGCGGCGTTTGCGGCAGATGTTGCGCGCAAATAGTTTATACCACCTCTGCTTCACAAAGATGTTAGGATAAGGTTTTAAAATCGTTAGATCACCGCTGACGTCACAAATTCTAAGGGGGCATCCCAATGCATTAGCCCCTTAGAATCCGAAAACTGCAAGTTTGAAATTCCATATCTCTGAATTAAAGCATTTTTCGATGTTGTGAGTGCCCAAACCGGTATTTGCAGGCCATGGCCACCAATTTGGCTATCTCAACTCAAAACTAATGTTAAGGTGGGATGGTCACTTAAAGAAAAGGAGCCGGAGTCGCCCCTTTTTTTGGCGGCTCCGGCTCCGGCTCCGGCTCCGGGCTATATTGTTTCACGGCTCCGGCTCCGGCTCCGGCTCCGGGCAAAATATGCCGGCTCCGGCGGCTCCGGTTCCGGCTCCGGCTCCGGCTCCGCATCCCTGCTTTGTTTTTTCCAATCAGAGGACGGTTCATGACCTTGACCTAAGGCCAAAATTTTTAGTTGACTTTTCATCAAAGTTCATGCCATTCGGATGTGTAGGCATTGTTCGGATCACTGTCATGGAACGGATATTCTTATATCCGACCAATGACAACAGATATTTACAACAATGAATAGAGTTAAAACTAAACAAGCAGAAGCCTGCCGAGTTTCAGCCTGCACCAGAAGCCTCACAAAGCCCCGTAACCATACGTCGCCGCCGGGCCCGGCCGGTGTCAAAGGTCAGCGCCGCGCCGACCGGTGACGTCACGGGCGCGGTGCACGTCCGCCGCCCGTGACCGGTCGGGGGCGGTGATAGCCTTGGGGCGGTGTAAACAGGGCTCAGTGGCAGACGGAGGCGGCCGCCGCCCTGGAGCGGAGAGACTGGCGATGAAACGGCCACCAGACCGGGCGTGCTTGGCAAAGACAAGTGGACTTTTGAATAAATGTCGAATTATTCAATGTCGAACAAATGAATTCTTTGAATTTAATGTAGGTATTTAATGAAAAGTCCCTTGTAATTTTCGATTATGTTGTAATTTTCGAAACGTCTGTAAAAGAATGAATGAAATAAAGAAGTGGGAAATAATTATAACGTTACTTGCAAAATCACAGCGGCGACTCATTCAACAGCGGTGCTATTACAAACTCGTCTTTTGTACTTCACAGAAAAGCAACAGAACACGATGCATCCAATGTGGGCGTCATGGTTTATTGCCACGGACGGACACGGGCGTTACCCCGCTGCAGTGCTGACGGGACGACCCTCTCCCATCCCCTCCAGTTCATATGCCGCCGCTCTACCCGTGGGAACACGTGTTTCTGAGCTGCGTCAGCGGGGCCCGTCAGTCGATCTGCGTCAGCCGAGCCCTGTCAGCTCGTGCTGCGTCAGCGGGGCCCTGTCAGCTCGGGCTGTGTCAGTGGGGCCCGTCAGGCAGGCTGTGTCAGCGCCAGTCGGCAGGCTGTGTCAGCGCCAGTCGGCGGCCCCTGCCGGCCCACCGTGCCCCGACCCCGCTCCACGCCGGTTCAGCTGCCGACAGGGCGGCATCCCCAGCCCAGCAGCTCAGCTGCCGACATAGCGACACCCCCAGCTCAGCAGCTCAGCTGGCGACAGGGAGACCTCCCCGGCTCAGCAGGTCACAGTTCAGCGCTCCCGGTCACGGCTGCGGCCGGCCGCCGAGCGGACCTCAGAGACCGGTCCGGCGACCCACACTCAGCTTCTCCAGCTGGGTTGGTCCAGAGGATTGTGGGGAGGGGGGCGACCGAGCGCGACCGACCCTGCATCACTTCAGCTGGATAGGACCGGACTGGACGTCCTCAGGAGCTTGATGGGGGGTGGGGGTGGGGGTGGGGGGGGGGGCACGAATGGCCAACCGGACGCTCTTGTCTGACGCGCGGTAAAATGCAAGTTGCCTTGAAGGGACATTTCCAATGAATACAACTTTTTACAGAATGCGATCTGTGCGATCTGTGCGAATGCGACCAGTGAGTTGGTTGCACGGCTCGGGTTTTACGCTTCTTTTACGTTTATTCTTCGCAGACTTTCCAATCGAGATCCTAAAAGCAAAATCGAGTGCCGTGAATGTTAAAGACTATCACCATTTGATTCGTTCCTGAAACGACCGAAATGGTCACCGATATCAGCGATAATTACAATCATGGGTAATATAATGGAAACAAAAACACTATAGGCAAAGGCACTTCAATGCCCAAACTAATTGGCTACAGTGAGACAGGTTATTTCATTCAACAATTATCTAGTGTTTGATTCAATATTTGCTGAGATACTTTTACAAAATTGAATCACAGGGGCGTGGTCCGGTGGGTGGTATCCGGCCCGCCTTGGAGGTCCGTAATGCCAGCCTTCGCCGACATTCACGGAGTATTTGTCCCACGCTTTCCAATACAAAACAGCCCATGTGTTTAATGTAAATTGGAAAGCCTACAGTGTCCTTGCGTATTCTGCTTGCAATGGCATCAATTCAACGGAACAGTGTGTGGTAACCTGGTAATACGCCCCGCACTGATGTGAACACGCCAAAAGAACTACTGCCTGTGTTGCCATATCCACTGCGGCGCTCACCACACAGCATGCCCAGCCTCCTTCGCAAAAAAAAAACGACAGAAGAATGATAATAAACACAGCGAACTTTGACATCAAACACAGAAAGCACTGCGATAGCGACTCACCTCTGGGTGGAGGTGGAGGAGCAGCGCCCGACGGCGGCCGGTGCGACGGTGGCGCCGTCGGCGGCCGGCTGGCAAACTGAGCACCAGAACTCGGCGGTATAGATGTCGCTGGCGGTGGAATGCTGGCCGTTGCCGGAGCCGCGGAGCTGCTCGGAGCGGTTGGATTCGTTACTGTCGCAGTGGAAGCCGCAGCCAGCGGTGCGAACACGGACTGCGCGGAGGGCGGCGGCTGGACGGCCGGCCGGGCCGGCGGGCCGACCAGCGGCGCCAGCACCGCCGGGGTTGTTGTTGGTCCTCTGAGGTGCGGCTGCAGCGGGTCCGTCTCGGAGGCCGGCAGCTGCGGCGGCACCGCCGGACTGAACACTGACACCGGCGCCGGGGCGGCTCCGGACGCTGGCAGACCAGCTCCCGTGCCGAACCGTCCCCCCGGCCGGGGTACCGCCCGGAAGGCGTTCAGAAGCCCGCCGCCGCCGCGGGGCGGAGGTCTGGTGGGCGGCGCCGCGGCAGCAGACAACGGCGGGGGCGGCGCAGTCGGTCCCACCGTCTGTCCTTCACTGGCAGCTGCTCCAGCCGCTGTGGGTGCAAAGAGAATGGAAATGGGTGAAAGGACAGCCATGTAGCGTCACATGAGAGTAGTGTATACCTGAGAGGGGCAATGCACATGAAGCATTTATAAAAATGACAGTAGAAAGGGGAGCAAAATAAACTTTTTAAAAATTAGCTTTAGAGTTTAACTCGATTGCTGAAAAAACTCATTCAGCATCATGTATAGAATGTAGGCATGATATAGATAATAAGGATTGAAAATTCCATAGGAGTAGAGATATGTAAGATGTACCAAGCATAGATTCATATAAATTTCAATAACAAAACAAAAATTCCATACAGCTGTCATTGATGTGTTTCTTTAACTTTGAATTTTCCTATTCCCTTTCAATGAACATGTCCTGGGAGATATGGCATTGCCCATGACAGAACTGCAAGTAGCCTTTCAGTTTGCTGTGAACTACAAATTGCTCAGGACCATTAAAAATAAGATGTTTATAATAAATCAGTAAATAATGGACAAATAAATGAAGTGAATAACAGAAAACAGGACAAGTCATATGTTATCTTAGTAAATCTTAGATGTTTCTCCATTGGGGATCTCCATTCTCCAGTCCATCCTGAAATCCTGATATTCTGCATGCCACAGGCAGTTTCACCATTTGATTTTGCAATGCCACTTTAACGTCTGATTAGGCATATAGATATACATTTTTAAACAAAGCCAATATGGGCACAAAATGAGCTTAGAAGTTAGAAGTTGGATTTATGTTGGGACACCTTAAAGCCCCAATGATGATGACCATCCATTCCACATATTGGCAAAATGAAATTTATGATTGACTAACAGAACTAAGTACTTATGTTCAACAGATACCCACCCAAAATAGCAATATGAAAACATGAATGGCTGATAGCATTAGAGAATTTAACAGATAAAGTTGTGACAAAATATTGACAATTTAAATAACTGGTTTTTAAGTTAGCACACAAACGCAACCACAGTCAAGGCTAAAATCTTAACTGGTGGTGGATCAAAAACACAGATACTTACAATGTTGATGTGAAACAGCTTGCTGAGGGGCTGGAATGGAAAGTGCTGGCATTTGGACACCATCAAAAGGAGATCCAGTATTGGCAGAAAATAAGAGTGGATTTATCTTCTGGGGAACATATCCACTTCTTGCTGGATTAGTCATCGTAAAGGTATGAACCAAGATATTTAACTGAAACAGTTTAAGTTCCAAAATTCAATTTGCAACCAATGTCAACGCAAATGTTTTCTTCAACGATCAATGCACCATGACCAAGCTTGTATTCTACCACTCACAACTTGAATTAGTAAAACTGAGAAAGTCTTGCCATCAGAATCATATTCCCCTGCGCGCAATCAACCAATGTTTTCAACATAATTGGAATTGATATATCATATCACCCACATATCACATACACCACGACCACCAGCACCGCCCTTCAATCAGGGGACGCCGGTGAAAACAGGGCGCCGGAGGGCATATTAGTCACGTGACATTTGGAGCTTCTCCCCCCTCCGTGGGCCTTCTACGTGCTAAATGTCAGGTGTGAATTTCACGAACCTTGATCAAATCGCCCCAGGCGCCCTGTTTTCACCGTCGTCCCAATCCTTCAATGCCTGTGAATCAAGGCACATATGGAGATCGCTCTTGTAAAGTCTATAGATAGCCTTGTTGTAAAGGCGTTTTACCTTTTCCCTCATGTGGTAATCACACCCTTAACGACACATAATTTGAAAGGTAGGTCAAATTATTTCCATACATGGCGCATCTAAGACAAAATCACCTCTGATATGAAGACAAGCTGCTACTAAAACATTGATTCTGCATTAACATTTTGAACTGCGTGAAGATTGCTCGATTTAAGCTCTCACTTAGATCTTGAACTATTTGAATAAGGACACAATGGAATTGTTAAATATTTCCGCACAAACATAACTATCTAACAACGTATTTGCACTTCTTTGTACATTTTTGTTCTTCATTAAAATGATGCCTTTAGGATTTGGTCTTGGGAGATTATATCATTGGGTAATGGGTATTATTGGGATTTGTGGTTTTGTGACAGGTCTTGGAAGGTTTTGAACCTCAGATCTTTCCGATCTATTCGCAGGACATAAAGATGCCTGATTTTCGTTAACACATCAACCCCACTGTTTCTGGCTGGAGTAGACGGTCACCAGCAGAGGTCACCAGCATCCGACTTGAGTAGCTAGCTCCCACCGGTGCAGGCATGCTCCTGTGTCGTGCGGTGACCGTTAGCGAAGATGGATGGCCTGTCCATCGAGGTGGGCTGAGACATGGCGGTGCACCATGATGGCCGCCCAGGCCAATATCTACCCCAAATTCCAGGGGCGCGGGAACTACTTTCAGACTGGGGGGGCACACCATGATAGAGATCAACCTAGGGTACCCCCAAATTTAGTTTTCTCGCCGGTTTTAGGCCACTTATTTTTCATCCCTTGGCTTTTTCAACAAAAAAGAAAACATTTGCAAAAAAAGTGCGGCATTCCGTCTTAAAGTTGTGGGGGCACCGCCCCCACGGCCCTAAAGTTAGGGGGGCAAGCTGCCCCCACTGCCCCCCCGGTTCCCGCGCCCATGCCAAATTCCAATCATCCTTCCGGTTCTATTAAGTGGTCTCGCTAGACCGAGAGACAACTTTGGAAAACCTTTCTGGTTTGACCAATGCTTTATTATATGAGCGGTTCTTAAATTTAAGTAATATAAGTATAGTATAGTAATATTCAGAGCATCTTCATAAGTCGACGGTTGTAGGTACCTAATGTTAGTCACCGTGCCTAATGTATTTGAAATAATTAGGTATGTTTAAGAATATGCGTTATTCAATTATTTACTTGCCCAGTTCAAAGCGCGAATGCAGGTAAATACCGAGCGATCGGGTGATACCCATGTGCAGGTCAATCACTCTAAAAATAGCAGTGGGGTCGTTCATTCCGCATGCGAGCTCCGTCTCCCGGCATAAGCCGGTGACGGGCGCGCTCCGCTGTCCCCACCAGCGCTGCAGTTCACATCTGCATATAATTCATGTTATCCGGCTGATCATACATCTCCCTCCCTCATGCATTATTTACGGTACCATGGTGTATCATGCATGGTGCATCATGCACCCCTAGCACGGCGCGATGCATCCTGCACGTCGTCTGTGCGCAATGTGCATAGACGTGTCATCGGCGCCGACCAGCCTCAATGCAGGTCCCATGTAATATATCGTGCATTTGTGCATGCATGATGCAGGCAGGACGCGGCTGAGCTCTGGCGACGGGGCGTAAGAGAAGGTTACGACTGCCCACTTACAGAGCGGACTACCTCTAAACAAGGCAAACTATTTTTGGTTTGCCGAATATTTTTTGGGAAGTGTTAGGCCATTTTTATAATTACGATAAGATTAATGGTTTAAACTTAGAAATGTTCATTTATATTGGACCAATGCAATGTGAACCTAAAATGGCATTGTTAGATTGCAACACTGGTTTTGAAAGGTTAATTTTTGTTCTGTTGATGTGCCTAAACTTTTCGTTTTTTTTCAAATTAACAAGCGAAGCAGTGCATGTGAGACAATTTAGTTCATTGATCCACGATCAGCACATGTCCTACATTGATGCCATTGACAGACACCCCGCGACAAAGCCTACACATTTCCTCGCGGATGATGTGACTCACCCTTCCCCGTCCTTCCTTCCCTCCCCCTCCCCAGTGCCGGACCCTCCCCCTCTGGCGCGCGGCGGTCCCATTCCATCACATCCCCCCTCCGGTCATCGCTCGGCCCCTCGCTCGGCGGGGGGCAGAACCGTTCCACTTTCATTTCGCCCCTCGCCCCTGGGAGAGGAGAGGACACCGCGCGGGAGTCCCCTCCTCCCCCACCCCTCCCCGCGCGCCGTCAGCTGCTTCGGTTCCGGCGGCCGAGAGGGCGGGGAGGGGGATCGGCGCCTCCCGCGGTCGTATTGATCCGCGCGGTGCCGGCCGGCGCCGCCGCTCGCTCGTGCTTCAGCCGTGACCTTTGTCGGTTCTGACGGAGAGCCTCACCCGATGGCTTCTCGCGGAGCGGCGGCGGTCTGCAAACTGCAATAGGAAGAAAGGAGTGGGAGGTGGGGAGCCGGAGGGGAAGAAAGGAGTGGGAGGTGGGGAGGGGAAGAAAGGAGTGGGAGGTGGGGAGGGATGGAGTTGGGAAATGACAAACGACTTCCCATCCGTTTCGTCGTTTCTCCGGCTCCAGTGGCTCAACTCTTCCTCGATCTGGGGTGAGGTAAAATTCCATACAGGCTAGCTAACTTAAAAATCCACTTATTTAGAATCGTGTTTAAAGGGACAGTATCATCGAAAAAAAAATCCATGTATGGAGCTGATTTTTTTTTTACTAGCATTTCTTATTTTTCTGAATCAGAAAAAACATAGTTTGAGGACCGAACTCGGTGAAAAATATTGCAACCACATTTCATTTTCATGATTCATTTTCATGAGCGAACCACCACTATACAAGCATGGCCGCCAGTTTGGAAGCATGCAAAATTACTACAGAACTGGCGCAGATAATATATTATTGACGCTACGCTTACGCGGTCGTTCTTCTGATTGAGTTGTCCTTAGGGAGAGGTAGCCTTAGGTATTGCCTATAAAAATATAACGTGACAATTGGAGGGAGTGACAATTGGACGTGACAATTGACAATGAGAGAAAATATCACGTGACAATCACGTGATAAACGTCATACATTGGAGGGAGATTGTGATTCAAGCTGGAGGAATTCCTTTGTTGAGCCGCTAGAATCCGAAGGAAACAGCGGAAATTGCCTACGACTATTTAATGAATTAAACGGTGATGAATAAGTGCGAAAAACGTTTTGGCTTTATAAAATTTGATGAAATGACCAGGGTAAAAGTTTTATTACTGCCGGTCAATTCAAAACGGCGCAAACATTTAAACAGTGAAGATAGTGAAGCACGATTCAAAGTGTGGTACACCTTTCGTACTTTGAGCGGCGATAGCGGGATAACGGTGTGGAGCTTCGAGGATCGGTCTTCAGTTCCCGGACCAGAAAGGTGGGGCCTATGCAATGTCAAATTTCATCAAAATGGTGATACTGTCCCTTTAAAAAAATTACTTGTTTGGAATCGTGCTAAACTTAATTTACAGGTCAGCAGATGCATTCGTCACAACAACATCGTACTGTTTTGATAATCAATTATACTCTACAGCACACAGTCCAAGTTTGATTTTGTAATTGCGTAACACACCATTAGGGCCATTAGGTAAGCGTATCAGAACGTAGCAACAAATTGTGAATTTCACCGGGTATACCGAGGGAGGAGTTTTCTTTAGGAGAAACTGACAAAGACGGTCGTCGATTTTCATCGCGCATGGATTGGGCAAGATACGAGAATAGTCCTCCAGATATATAAGTAAAATATTTAGGTACTGACGACCCTTACCTGTACCTACTAAAGAGATTCACGTAAAACTTCGCATCTCAGCAACTGCTTTTAAGTGGAAGGTCTGAGGTCACCCGGATAGAGGCATTCAATTTTGCGTTATCAAAGCTATCTTTCGTTCCTGGAATCGTTCTTTTTACGAGGCAGTACCGAGGGCAGTACTTTGATCAAACGCGGAGGCATTCAATCAGCTGCAAAAGTTCTTATGGCGGTGAAATTCTTCAAAGATAAGCGAGTGATTGAACTTACATATTTGTAACTTCCTTTTTCGCAACTTTCAAATTGAAATGGCTTCGTTCTCGGCATGAGCTTCCGTAAAACCGTAAAATAAAATGTTTACGCTATGCAGGTAACTGCTTTACAAGTTTACTGTCAAGATAAGATTCGATTTTAGTTGATTTGCGCTGGATTTGACTTAGCAGACGTCAGACGGTCAGTAAAACAAGTATTCCCCTTCACAATATGCATATTTCAGAGCATATTTTGTCTGTCAACTGCACCGGAGCTGTATTCAAAGACCAGGATCGACGCCCTCGTCAATAAAATGCCCAGTTCCATTCCATTTTACGGCCGGGAACAGCTCCTCCCCGGCTCCCCTGTTTCCCTCTCCACTGCAAGCTGGCAGCTGAGCGGTAACTGTTCCCGGAACCCCGCAGCCAGCCGTTCCACGGACCCGGCGCGCCGCCCGCCTCTCAGCACGGCGCTGAGCTCCCGCTATCGGCCACTACATCCGCGCGTGCCAAACATACGACCCCGGCCGGGCCGCGGCAGCTGGTCCCCCTCCCCCCCACCTCCCCTCCCCTCCCCCACCCTGCGCTCCTCTGCACGCCAACAGGTGCGAGACGATTGAGGCTTCCGGTGTGTGAACATTGAATGACAGATTAGGCTGTCACCGCAATGATACCGTGTATGTACTTACATACAGAGTGCTGAACGGTCTGGCAATGTTAGCAGACCACCTAACTAGCCACGAGGCTAGCCTGACCTTGGCATCTTGACA